TACAAACAGAAACAGAAGTTGGAACAGTATTAAGTGCATTCGAGAGGTGATTCTCAGTCACCACTTGATCTGATACATCTGATCTGATAACAGTGAATTTTTCAATTTGCACGCTGAACTCTTTCCTAAAATCAAAAAAATAGAGCCACTAATATAAAAACAAAACAAAAACCATTTTAAGCTACTCCACATTGAAACACCGAGCAATGAACAATACTAAAAAATATAAAAACTCCGCCAAACATAATAATACAAGGTCTGCAATTCATAAAACCATAAATTTCCAAATTTCAAATTCCAAAAAATAGAGCCACCGATATAAAAACAAAACAAAAACCATTTAAAGCTACTCCATATTGAAACGCCGAGCAATGAACAATACTAAAAAATATAAAAACTCCGGCGAACATAATAATACAAGGTCTGCAATTCATAAGACCATAAATTTCCGAATTTCAAATTCCATATTCCGACTCAACGTCCGCCATCGCAACTCGCCCCGCTGTGTATACCTGAGAAGCAATTTGATGAATCCCCGCCACTCTTCCTGGAAGATGGAAAAGCAAACGGATAAACGCGCGACGATTCACCCTCCCTCCCCCCACCGTTGCCCCTACCACCGGGTGCAACGACTCGGATGCACCGTTTGCCGACAACTAGAACTCGATTCACGTTGCACGCAGAACCGTAGCCGCGCGTCACACGTCGTCGCCGTATATATAGCCTGTGTAGAGTCGCGGTCGCAGCGCATAACTGCATCTAAGGTGCGTTCGTTTGGCTGCCCGCATCCCGCACCCCGTTTTCCTTGTGCAGCTTCCACGGAGCCGAGCCACCAGGATTGGCGCTCGTGCACGGACGCGCTATTTGCCCGACAGAAACGATCGAAAAGTAGGTCAACGGTTGCCTGAATGCCTGGCTCGCTTGCTTGCTTGCTTGCTTGCTCGCTCGCTCGCTCGCTCGCTTGCTTGGCCGGCTGGATGGCTGGTTGACTTGACTGACTGGCTGGTTGGTTGCTGGTTGGTTAGTTGACTGGCTGGTTGGCTGGTTGGCTGACTGTCTGGGTGTTTGGCCGTCTGGCTGACTTGTTGACTGGCTGGCTGACTGACTGACTGGATTGCTCGACTGTCTGTTGCGTCTTGAGCCGCTTTCTCTTCTTCAGCCGCAATTCTGACGATGAAATTCTAACGCTTGCGTACCCACCTCCTTTTCACCTTGCCCCCACCCCCTTTTGTTGAGGGGAGTATTGTAATCTTTTGGAGTCAACTGTACTCTATATTGTTCATGAGAAGAGCCCTTAGATGCTATAGAGGCAGAAGGGCTCTCTCGCTACGTGGTTTGTTTAGAGGTCTGATCGTGGTGTAATCGTATTGAGGAAGAGCAAATTAGTATCGAAAATGAGATGAGAAAGATGGAAGCTGAACAAGTAGATTCGTCTAGGACCCTTCTCTTGAATAGCACGAAGTATATACTGAAGGAAGATGACTTGCGTAGCTGAACTGCAAGGGGCTAGAGGTGTCTTTCTAATTTAGTTTCATTGTTTTTATTGGTTATGTGTAACCAATCGACGAATAGCAGATTGGTGATGGGAAATGTTAGTAATTAGGAAAGAAAGGAGCTGAAAATTAGGTGGGGGGAGATGGAAATCTATCGATCGGTGCATTCCTAAGTCTAGCTATCAAGTGATGTCCTAGCAATGTTAAGGTGTGCTGAGGAAAGTGGGTCTGATGGGTCCGTCTTCGTCTTTCTTAGGATGCTAATTTGCTATTCGTCAGTACGTAACCAATCAAAACTGTAAACAAAATACACAGCGAAACACCTATCTTGCTCCTGTACCGTCCAGCTAGACATCAAGTTACGTCGCTACAGTAGAGATTCGGACTTGTGAACGATTAGGAAAGAGACATTGGTGGTAGAATACGCCATAAGTCTAGAATATATTAACCCCTTGCGCTCGGGAGATGACGTTTTATTTTGAAATCTCATTGAACGAAAACAGGTTACTATTGAACTTGAAATCAATCGTTGTAAGTTTCTAAAGTGAAAAATTCGAAGAGATCGTTAATCTGTTTAAATGTGATTGTCGTACAAACTACAATGAACAAGAAGTGACAAAACGTAAAGAAGATAATTGCGAGTTTTGCAATACAAATTTTACTGATTGCTTAACTCATAATGATCTAATTTTGTAAATATTTATGTGGTTCTAGATCAAACAATGAGACGAAGTTTTCAAAAATCCTCTATAATATTTTTAGTTTACATTTCTCAATTGTAAAATTCTAAGGGAATTGCAGCATGAAAGCGACAAATTTTTTAAGCTTTCTAAATGGGAACACCCTTTCAGTTTCTGGGTTTCGGCTATTCGACGATAGTAAAGGGTTATCATTACTGCACCGTTCGTTTCACGTCTTTTGGAATCGATTGTAATGACGCATGAAATACGCATGTTACAAGCCACTAAATCTACCGCGCAGGTACAAATAATATCCAACCGGTTACTTTTGACGACAGAATCTCTCTTCTCTCAAGGTACTCTTCAAATGCCACGAATTTCAAGGTGACAAATGTCGTTGCACCCGTGAGATGGCTCGAACCAAGCGAGAATCGATTTCTCCTCGACTGACGTCGTAGAAATCATTCCAACAGTATAATCAGGGGAAGATCCAGTTTGTTGCGTCACTTTTTGCTCTTATAACAGTAGACACACGATGGAATGCAAACTGATAAAAAATGATTTGATACTTCTGATAATTTTATTTCCTTATCCGGTATTTGCTTTTTTTGTGTCTCTTATAGTCGATTTTTAAATACAACCGGTAGCACTATCAAGTAAAACGTTTATAAAAAAGAAACTTGCAATGCGGAGAAATTCTTAATTAACATCTTAATTAACTTATACAGTACTGTGGCTCGTTCTCGATAAAAGTATATTATTATAAAATACATTGGAATAAAACAATGTAGATAAAATTAAATATATATTTTTATTTGTTCACATTTCACGCTTTTTGCGTTAATTATTAAAATAACACAGATGTTTCTCAAGGGGAACGATCGTATACTGTACAACTCACATAACGTTACTCGCAACAATAGATAATACTGTTGATTGAAAGAGAAGCATTGAATTATTCATTGCACAAGAACTGTTACATATCTCTGCATTAAAAATAAATCTCTTACACCTTCAGCAAAATTACAACATAACAAAAGAAACAAAAATATTAATCGTTACAATAGAGCCCAAAGAAATTAGGCAAATTTTTCAAAAACCACTTTGGAACCTAAATATTTTTCCTTCGTACTGTTTACACCACGTAATAACTTCATAAAAAATTCCCAGAAATAACCGAATCAGATGTTCCACTACTCCACTTAAAATAATAAAGCCCGTTAAAAAATTCATTTTTGCGCACTCATTCAACATTGTAATTCAAATTCAAATAAATTCAACGTTGTAATTCAAATTCAAATTCAAACAAATTCAACATTGTAATTCAAATTCAAACAAATTCAACATTGTAATTCGAATTCAAACAAATTCAACATTGTAATTCAAATCCAAACAAATTCAACATTGTAATTCAAATTCAAACAAATTCAACATTGTGATTCAACGTTCAACATTATAATACAATTCACGGAATTTTTGCAAACATTTCTCAAACAACGATTATATTGCGTCTCGTTATACGTCCGGATTATACATTATTTAACTATAATTCCGTAATTGTGTGTAAGTAGCCCAATTCATTCCCCCAACGTGCGTTCACGCATCTTTCCATTCAACACCTCTTTCTCCGGCGTGCGGTTACCATGCGGCTTAATTGTTTTACATTACCAGAGAACTCTGACAAGGTATTATTAATCCTTGGCCATGATAAATTTATCCACTTTATTATCTACCTTCTTCTTTCCTTCCCACCATTCTCCTCTTACCTCTTGCCGAATGGCGACCAACGGCAAGAGTACCTGAACACTTTCGTGGAATGTTTCACCCGTCCCGGGGGACAGGTATTCATGCAAATGAAGTCTGCATGGAATCATTAGTGATAACGTCGTTTTCGAAAATGCAAGAACAACTCTTGCGAACGAATTACTGTTCCTTTTTATTTCTTCCATGAATATTAAACAACGCGGCGGAACGTTCAGAGCGAATCACAATGAGCGGTCAGCTCCAGTCGCGTTACACGAGTAATATTTCACCTTTTGTTTGTTTAACGGATTAAACCCACGTGCTTTTATGTGCGCGCGAGATACAGTTGCTTTCTTTTTGTGTCACTTGTAGTAATGAATTTTGTGTACGAGTTTGGGCAAGTGCTCGTATTCGTACCGTAATTTTCGTTTTAAACGAGTTCTTCGTTGACTCGACAGTCTTTAATTTGGGTTTATTCGATGATTCGACGAAAATGAAAAATACGTTTATTTGAAAGTAAAGATAAATTTCGGAATAATATTAGCGAAAGTCGTTTATTCTTGAATGATGTACTTTGGGTTTCGTTACTGCAAGTGGTACGAAGAAATAATTTTGTAATAAAATTATAAATTTTGTTGTATTAGGATTTAACAGCTATTTTTGAGTTTTCGAGAGGAGAGTCTCCGTGAAATGTTTTTGGAATAATTAAATATTAATATTACTAATATTAGTAATTAGTAATAGTTAATATTAATAATTAATATTCATATTTAGTAACAATCAGTACCAATAAATTATCAATATTTAATATTAGTACGTTGTTAATAGTTAATATTAATACGTTGCTATTAGTTGATATTAATAAATTATTAATAGATATTATTAATACGTTATTAATAGTGAATATCAATAGATTATTAATAATATTATAAATAGAAGTTATACCACTATTCTAAGCAACCCAACCGTTAGTAAACCACCCATATTTCGTTAAGAAATGTTCACTTTAGAATTCAATAGAATAAATTCGTAAGAAATTGTTACAGACGATGTGGTAAGGATATTGTTGTTCTTTATGTTTCAGTGCGGAAGCATGCTGCACGCACAGCTGGAAATTTGGAAGGCAGCCGTGGAAGAGTCACCGCGCAATACATTGGCAGCTTCCTGGAGCCCTGCTGGTGTTGTTCAAACGCCCAACAACAATACAACAGGTTCGTCAACTATCGGAAATACAACCAGCATCAGTGTCAAAGGATCGTCTTGCAGCGTAGATTTCTCCGATGGTGAGTTCAATTTTTAAATGTCACATGCATATATTGCTTCGAACGTATGCCTCTATTAAATTAATCGTACGCAACTTCTGATCATGATTGCCATCCACGCTCATTAAGTTTCTTTTGCTGTCATTTATCACATTTCATCTATTACGACGTTCATGGCGTTTCTAAATAAATAATTCATTAGATTAGCAATCATACAATTTAAAGAAAATATTATCGTCAAGTTACAATTACATTTATACAGTAAATTAATTAAATAAATTATGGACAAACTGTGTATTATACATTATTTCAAATCCATTATGAAATCGAATAATAATGAAATTAGTTATTTTAAAACTTTTTGTACATTTCGAAGGTAAAAAATTCTAATTATTGAGAAACTTTTAATCGTTCATTTTCAATCGCAAATTAAACTTATAGTGAATTTGTTTATACTTTTATGCGACTGCTTAAATGGAGTTCATTCTTCGCGAAAACTCATTCTTTTATAGTTAAAATCAGTTCTTTGTTAATTTAAAGTGAATTGCTGACTTTAACGAATATCATTGTTCTAAATGCATATCTTTGTCACGGCTGTTGTAACTTACAGCTTTTGATTTCTACAATCTCGAAGCTGAAATCATTATCATATTTAATGGAAAAGTGCAGTCGGTGTGTAACGCGAAGGAATTTAATTATTCTGATATCCAATATATTAATCTAATTAATATAATACTGTTATAATTGACCCGTTGCGTTAAACCGTAATAACTTAATACAAGCAATAATCAGGAGTACGCACTAGCATGCGAGACACACCGGTTCCCTCTTAAACGACTAGAAATTACAGCTTCCGAACGCAACTAACAATCTTATGCACCACTACGACCAAGGAATGTACTACGCGTACAACCCGCGAAGATATAAATTAGATACAAAATAACATTAAATTAGACCGCTATAACTAAGTACTTCATTCCAGTTAACACAACAAAATGAAAACGAAATTATGGCCACGTACTAATATGATAAAAACTGGAGTTCCCGATCGCTGAGTTGCGTCCATGTACAGCCGGTAATCAGGAAATCACAATTTACTGGGTATACAGGGTGATACTAAAATAACCATCTTGATATTAACACATTCGCGAACGGAAAATTTTTCGTTTCCCTACCATCCATTACCGATGAACATGAAGGAAGTCTTAAATTAATTGTTGCAACTTCGTTAAAATACCGACAAAAACTACAAAATTTGTTTTGAAATATTAGCCTCGCGACGATCTGTTGTTTGAAATGGAGAATTTTCTGCTTAAAAGTCGCAAATGGAAAATAGAAGAGGGATAAAATATTTTGAAAGTATTCTACTGTTTCGATGCATGAAAAAGAGTGATATACATATGTGTTTAAAAAATCTATTAACATTTAGACAAACCGCTTAAAAAAACTAACGTTTTTCATTAACTTTAATTGAACTCGTTCAAAAAATTTGATTAAAAATTGGATTTCATAAGCGCAAAAAAGGTATTTATTGAATTGTAAATATCCCTAGTTGAAGAGTTGCTAAATAACAACAGAGGAGATAAACGAAATAAATGGCAATGCGTTGCTAAGGGAAAAGTGGGAACGTCCTTAGTCACTTTTATCAAACGCTAGAGCTGGAAGGTATACAAACTATAAATTATGTTGTCATATAATTAACAGTATATTGAATTATTCATAGATGTACCTGTCTACAACAAAATCTTGTATTTTTATGGTATCCATTAAAATCGAGAATAACATTACTCTCATTTCCAACAGTTCATGAAATACAACGAGTAACTGTATCACTTATTACGTATTGTGACGTTATCTAAATAATTATCTTCCATAAATTCGTCTACTATGGTGCTATACATATATTCAACAGATTAACTGTACACGAGATCGTTATACCTGAATTCCCAAATGTAAGTTAATGAGATTACAGGAAAGTAGGAAACAAAAGACATTTACAGTGCTGCCGTTTCGAGACCATTCAGGGTTTCAGATGTTTCGGATCTTTAAGTGGATTTACAAACGATTCAGTTATACGAGCTCTAAGGATATAATTAATCGTTTACCTTTTATTGCTTTCTTTATAGAGACACCCGTCATTTGTTGCACATGGAAAAATATTTCAGAGATACTATCGTGAATTGCGAAATATAAAATTTAATAAAATATTGAATTTAAAAACAAAAATAAAATATTAAAATTAAAGGGAGAAATAAAATATTAAAATTAAAAACAAAAATAAAATATTAAAATATTAAATTTATAAAATAAACAAACTTCTTCCAGCAAGACATTCCAAAAGTTAATGAACGTCAGTATCAAAAAATGAACGAAGCGCAAAGGATTGATAATGCATTTTAATTTATCACCTCATTGAAGTTACTTAAGAGTATAAGCTGAGCAACGTTTAATTTTATCGCGTAAACTCACGGAAATCAAACATTGCAGCAGGACGTTCGAGAGTAGTGAAAGCTATTTCGCCCCTGCCTTCACTGAGTAACAAATTATTGCTGTTAGATAAAGAGAAGAGAAAGGGTACGACATGGCACGAGCATGAACTTATGTGACTGACAACACGAACATGCAGCACAGCTTGTTTCGTTCTATTCATTCTTAAATTAAAACGAAACTAGACACGTTACAATTCACCCTCCTTAATGTCTCGCTCTACACACCGCGCATACCGTTGAATCACCATGTGCAAACACTTTTACGACTTTTTACACTTCTTATACTTTTATGGACACTTTCTCAATTTTTATAACTACCCGAAGAATCATGTGAAATCTTTGACAAATTTGATTAAATTTTATACATTATATACCGCATTGTGTAGAAGAACATGTTGATTTATTAAACGCGTCATCAATAATAACGAAACATTATATGTCCCTTTCATTTACATATCCGCCGCATTCTTATATCCACTTTTACAAGTTGTGGCATCCTGGTTATTAATTTATTCACTATTTATATTAGTCTAGACGAGACAGAAGACTGCACTAAAGTGATGCAGTCATCGTAAAACGAAAGAACATAAATTTAGGATCTTTTCGCACGCAACGAAATAAAAGGCAGTGTGCATCGAATAAATTTCTTTGACATGTTCGAGTAATTTAATCATTCATTTCAGTTTTTTTTAAATATACTACGTCTATATGTCCGATAGCATTTAGGAATAAACATTGACAATAACGATACACATTATATATAACGGTTCCATAGGAATGCTGAGTATCTCCACGCTCCTGATTGAAAAGTTTTTTCGTTCTCATTCAAAAATTCGACATATTCGAAAATTTAGCAAATAATAAACATATTCATCGCGCAGTATATTATTCTGTATTCAATATTTCCCGTTTTATATATCCATACTATCACTTTCCACTTCTGCTTCTTCTACGTTGTAACAAACCTACTCCAGATATTATTGCGAGATGACTTAATGCCTAGCAACACAGGCATAGGAGGACTTCCGCTGTGTGTTGTGTTCATTATTTCGAATGGTTGCTCATAATCGTATAGACGAATAATAAATTAGCATTATAAGAAAGATGCAACCGTTCAATAAGGTCCACATTCCTTAGCCAATCCATCAACTGATCCCCTACAGTACTGCTAGAAGATCAGTTGATGGCTAGGCTAAGGAATGCGACTGATCGATCAGTTTTCACTTTTCTCACCTACTTTTCACTTGGCTTTATCTCCAATTCCTAATATATGTGATCGCTAATTTACTATCAGTAAACGGTCAAAACGGTTCATCCACAATCCACAATCCTCAGTCTAGTTATCAACTAATATACTACCCCTATAGTATTCCTAGAACACTTGATAGCTAGGCTGCGGACTGCAGTTGATCGATCGTTCTTTACTTTTTTCACCTAATTATCAGTTATTTTCATCCTAATTCCCTACATTTTCGATTGGCAATTTGCCATTCCTCAATATGATTCCTCAACAATCCACAATCCTTAGTCTAGTTATCAACTGATCCCCTACAGTAGTTGCAACAGGATCATTTACAGAACGGAGTGGTATCGGCTTTTGTTCCAGACGAGGACGAGGATTGCGGCTCCTCGCAGGGCGGAGCAGGCGGTGGTGGCGGTGGCGGCGGCGGCGGCGGTAAGATGCGGAACGGCGGCTCGCACATCCACCTGTGGCAGTTCCTGAAGGAGCTGCTGCAGAGCCCTGGGGTGCACGGGTCCTGCATACGCTGGCTGGACCGCGGCAAGGGCGTGTTCAAGATCGAGGACTCGGTCCGCGTGGCCAGGCTCTGGGGTAAGCGGAAGAACCGTCCGGCCATGAACTACGACAAACTGAGCCGCAGCATCAGGCAGTACTACAAGAAGGGGATCATGAAGAAGACCGAGCGTAGCCAGAGGCTCGTCTATCAGTTCTGCCATCCGTACTGCCTTTAAGACGGCTCGACACCCGTTAAGCCTTCGCGCTCGGCCCCGGCTGGCTGTTAGCCGGCGCGCATCGGCGATCGATTCTTTATTTATTCCCGACGAAACGCGAACGCTTCCCGAGGACGGTATGTCCCGTGAGCGGAACCATTTACCCGAGTATTTATTAAAAGGTGCGCGCGGCCAGGGTATAATATCCGGCCGGACGGCTGTCTCCTCGATGTTTCATCGGAGATCCAGCCGTCATCTCCGAAATATCGGCGACAGTTTCGCCGGCACGGAGATCTTGTCGGAATAATCGCGCTGTCGCGATGCTTTATCGAGCGGCGAACACGAGCGCGAAGGGTTAACACCTTTCCATCGATTCCAGAGTCAAGGCTGTCCGCTGATCGCCTTGACTCTGCCGGTCATCGAAGGGAGTTGTGCGACGAAGGGCTTCCGACTCTTTCTTACGTGTAACTTCTCGTTCTCTTCTCGCCTTCTTTCCTCTCTTCACTTCCTCTTTTCCTTCTCTTCTCTATTTTTTCGTTTCTTTCTTTATCCACTTGTCACGATACGCGGTTGTGCGTGCGAGTGCGTGCGTGCGTGCGTGTGTGCGGTGCGTTCGATTAAAGGAGAATCAGTACGGAGGTCGAAGGTAAACGATCCACCGTGTCCGGCATTATCCTCCGAGGATAACGTTCGCGACACGGCTGGGTGTCACTTAGTACGCCCGTTTTGGGCGACCAACCCCCTTACCCCCAACCCGAACCTTCCCCACTAACGTTCTAACCAATTCCCCGTCCCATGATTTCACTCCCGATTACCCACGTTGTAATATAAAACATCTTTCTATTAAAATTAAGTTGATCCCGCGTTACGCGAGCCGCTGTTCCACCGCGGTTCCCGTTGGAAGAAAGAAAAAACAAAGAAAAAACGAGCTGCGTTTATGGTTTTATCTGCGTCGGGACGATGGACAGGTCGATCTTGAACCCTTTCGACTGGTGTATTCTATGTTTTCCTTTATTCACGTCGAAATCTTCAATCGTACCTCAGAGTATATATTTACAGTTCACGATAATCAACGGTCTTGTTTCACGATGCAACGATGTTACGATGCCGTGTACCAGCCTCTCAGCGCCGTCAATTACTAATGTATCGTTCTCACGTACTTACATTAACGTCGCACTAATGTTTCTACTTTAAGTAACGTAATATCGTAACGCCTAATAATGCTAGTATTGTTACTATGTTGGTGTAATATTAGTAATGTTACTACAGTGTATTACTAACAGCCGTCTCACCGCGATAACGGGCCAGCGTTGCCGCTAAATCGGTATTATATACCGTTGCGGCCGCGACCGGCGCGTTATCACCGCGTGTCGGACGCTGTTTCGCTGGTACGCCTACGCGGCGACGCTATCCGCGCCGCGTGGTTGAATGGTGTTCAAGATCGACGCTCTCGGAACCACGCTTGGGAGGTACGTCCCGCGAATTTTCGAGTGTTGGCCGTCGGCCTGCCGACGCATTTTTGTTCGAGGACGGAAAAATCAACGACGAATGAAAAACATGAGCGGTAATTCGTTGGAGAAAAGGGAAGAAACTGCTCTTTCCTCTCTGTTCTCAAGATTGCTTACTAGCACCGGTCGCCGAAGCCTCGAGCCACATCCGATCCACGGATCCACGGCCGGCGGACGATCCGGCGCGCGGAACTATTCGCTGCTGCTCGGCCCGTCCCGTCGTTCCTCCTTTTTTCAGAGAAAACCCGGACGGTAAGATAAGAAACGTGTTCTTTTTTTTTTATTGTTACCGGTGAACGTCGCGCCAGTCGAACGATCGTTAACGTATTCACAAGTTCGATCGACTTGTCGAGGAATATTTTTCTATGGAATTCAGAGGTTTCAGTGAACCTGTACGCGAGAAGGAATATTCGAAGATCTTCGTAGAGTATCTAGATACTTTGAAATTACAAAATACTGTAAACTATTTTCGTAAATTCAATGGGAATGAGACTTATAGAATTTCCAATTTACAGATTTTAATACCACAAACTAGACGTTGTATATTGAAAGTTTTCTATCTCTGTCTCGAAACGATAGAAAAAGATTGAAGTTATTTATTAGTACCTTCTTATTTCGTACCTTCGCCATTAAATACTATAAAATACAAAGCGTTGTAAACTATTTTCATAAATTCAGCTAGAACGAGACTCGTAAAATCCAATTTACAAATTTTAATACTACAAATTAGACTTTGTACATTGCTGTAAATATTCTACCTACGAACTGTTATTCGTAAGAAAAATTCGAAGTTATTTATCGGCACCTTATTTACAATTTACAAAGGCAACAATGTCTCTTCGGACTGCTATGAACTTATAATCTCCAAATTCTACGGAACTTTACTACAAGTATATTCTTCCCGGAGCGAGTAGACTAGATCGTTATCTTCGAAGAGCGAGTGGAAACGTTGGAAAGCCGAAGACTTTCCGTGGAACGTTCACGCTCGAAGGTCCGTTTAACGTGGGATTTTCTGTCACGCCCACGGATCGGAAATTGAATAGTGCCTTCCGAAGTGCCTTCCCGATGGTAAAACGGCCGCGGCGGCAAAAATCGCTCGCGATCTGTTACACGGCCTTTTGCGGGCCGAGCGGAAAATCTCGCTGGCGCGGCGTGAAACGATCGTATCGTCGTAGGACACGCGATTAGGGCCACGATCGGGGCTCCTTTGAAAACGGCCGAACGACGGCCGTGGATTGCTCGAGGCGCGGACGTTTGCGCGACTGGCTCTGGTGATTTTGGTCCCATATATCTATGATATATTAACGTTGTATGTTCCATGAACGACCTAGCATGTAAGTTCACTTTAGCTGCGTAAAGAGCATCGGCGGCTCACGTGAGCCGCCGTACAGTTACTCCAAGAGATTTCTCGTCTTCCTCTTCTTTTATTGTGTTTTCTTTTGATTCTCCGCACGGACTTTTCTTCCCGTGCAAACACACTTCCGTCGGGCTACTCGTGTGCGACGCGAACGAGTATCGGGACGTGCGATGAGTGTTGCTCCGAGCAACTTCGCATCGATTCCCGTGGATTCCAGAGACTTTCAGAAGAATGTTCTACGGTTCTTTCACCTTGCGAAGGTGGAGAGTTTCGCAAAAAGTATGCAGAATGTTTCGTTTTAATCTGTGAACGGAATTGTTTGCGGATCTGTTTGTTGCTTGAAAAGTTATTTGGAGAATTTGTTATGTTGGTTTGATGGGTTAGCACATTTTTGTGAGATAATTTGCTCGATTGATTTAGTTAATTGTGAAAATGATTGCTGATTTGAAAAATTAATTATGAAAAGAGTTTCATGATTGTACTTTGGAAAATAATATCTAATCGTTATATCGTTTGCAAGTGTTTAGCTAGAGATAAACTATGTGTAAATTATTCATTCCACCAAACGAAGAAAATTGTATTTGAAAATACAGTTAAATTAGTAAGGATTATAATTAAGTAACGAACAGTTTCGAAGATAATTATTTGAATAGATTTAAATGGGACATTCTATATATGTTTTGTACATACATTTTCTATATAAATTTTCCATTATTATTGCGTTGCTGCCGCCACGCGAAGTGCTCAGTCGTCTGCATTGTTGTGGAGAGATCCAGTTTGAATGTAGATAAACAATAATACGTTATTTCTTTCGGACAATTGTCCTGCTCGGTGCACGTAGCTGGGTAATAAAGAGCAGTGTATACGATTTCATGCTTGTTTTATCGGCTGACTTCTTTGTTGGTACGAGCAGGATAGAGAAAAAGCGAAAGCAGTCCCGATAAAATATGACTTCATATAATTAATAGTAAATAATTCGTTTTATTTCAATTCGTGCGTGGAACTTCGAAAATAAAATATCCTGTATAATTTATATATTGAAATGGAGTGTGGAAAAATAGTATATTTTCAGTCTCTTTACTTTTTCAATTTCTTTCAACGAACAAATACAGATTTTTTATTTCTCTTATAACTGCGAGACATTCAAAACAAAAAATCTATTTTAACATTTTTGACTTTCGTGTAATACAATTTGGAAATTTAAGTTTTGGTTGGTAGCATACCACAAACTAATACGTATATATATGTTTTTCCATTTTACTTAAGCTTTAACCACTTTGAATGACCTTCAACCTCTTACCCTCTGATACCAAGTCAGACTCGTGACTAAAATTTTAACTTGAATTTGATAAATCTAAATTACTTTTTTTAAATATGAGTGAAATATTACTTTCCCATTATCAATCGTTAATCTATACTAAACATACACATAGAATAAACATTAAATTTTGTCCTATAACAAGTTATTAACCATAAAGTATCTTCATCGAGCATAGTTGTAAAAGAAATCAGGACAACCATAGTTCGTTCCATATCTCTCCATTCCAAAGCTCTCGACAACAAGAATTTCTAATAACACGGTCAATCATAATTTACTGATAAATAAAACTTTTGAATTTATTAACTCCGAATAGTTTGAAACTATAATAAGAAAAACGCTACATTCCATTCGAAAAAGCGACTGTAATATTCACGTCTCCTTTACAGCTCCACCCACAAATAAACAACTGATCTCAGATTACGTTCCCCTTGAAATCAAGTTTCGCCTGATCGATGCTTCGCTATGGCCAACGGCAACTGGTTATTCGGGTGACCCGCTTTAAATGTTTCGGGCTGCGTGCAATAACGCCGCGTTGCGTAAGTCGGTAGCAACGATATCTCGTTCAAGAGCAAATGGAAAAGTCTCGGAATTCGTGTTCCCGGTAGCTCGACGCATCCACGCGAGCCAATCTCGCGGAACGGCGATGTGTTTCCACGTTGATTTCGTTTCCCGTAACCGTAAGTAGTAGTAGTAGCTCTTACGTTCTAAACATAAACATTTTCTACTAAGATTTATTTAAACTTTCTCCTAACACTTTCGGAATTCCCAACGTGTTCACCGGGCCCTGTATTCGCGCGGAGAATTATCCGCCGTTCGCCTGTTCCGAGTTCGATTTAAGTATCAAACGACCGTTCATTCCGTGCATTGAAACTCCAATTAATCCCTTGCCATAGGACGACGAGCGAGGCTCGTCACGAAGACTTCTAGAATTACAGTGGCGCCTTCTACGAAGCGATTGAAAGATCGTCGAGAAATAACTGTGAAAGTGAGATTGTCCATAAGAAACTGATACAGGCAGAGGACAATATACTGTTCGTTGCAGGGAACCTGGCACTTTCGTCTGATTGGTCAGATTCTATGGCGAACGCCCTGCCCGCACGGATTTTCGGTTCTGGTGTATGATTGGCGGAGGCGCTCAGGAACACTAATCGGATCGCGCGACGAAAAGTGGGGAAAACCGTTTCCGAAGTCACAGTTGGATTTCTCGGAGCAAATGTATCCGCCCCTACGACGTCACGAGTGCCAGGTTCACTGCAACGGACAGTACAAAGAATAGGGTAAAATGTTAAACGAGCTTAGTAGCGAAAATAAATACGCCAAGGGATTAATGGTGAACCGAGACATTCCGCAGATACTTAAAGCAAAAATACGTCGGAACCTGTGCGACGGAATTTATTTGTACGCCGTGTATGCACGTGTCAATCCGATTTTACTTTTTAACCCTTTGTGGCACGTTACTAATAAATCATGAAAATCTCTGCGAAAATGGTTAAGAGGTTGAGATATTGTAGTAAGACGTAATGAATTCATATTTTCTGAGAAACAATTTTTTCTAGTGTTCTCCGAATCACATTGTAAATTTGAGAAATAATGGAAGAATCAGGTGTTAGCTGCAAACACTTCGTGACAAAGGGTTAATAAGAAGTTAAATAAATTTAAGATTGAAGTTAAATTGAGGGGTTAAATTGAATTTAACCCTTGAAAGATCAGAAGGATTCGTTGGACCCATTTTGATATATATTCCTGTTCTAAAATCTTTGATCAGACATCAAAATTATTTACCAGTGTACAAAGAGCATTAAAAAGATATTGTGTATTAAATATATAAAATGCACTAATTAATTAATAACGAGAAAGAATAAGAATCTCTTTGTAGTCCTTTAAGGGTTAAGAGATCGATTTTCTCGTCACTGTTTAAAGACTACCCGGTGAACACGTCGCAAGTTCTACTAACAATTTAAATGTTTTCGCTCACTGATATCGGTTGTACATACGTCTCGGCGTTAATCATTTTGTACGTTCGTTTTTATTTATTTAACTGAGTTTCGTAATCGTATTAATATATTGTACCACATTATTGTTAAGAAATTTCGCGTGCACGAGACCTCGTGGACGTTTAACACCGTGTGGGTCTGGTTTTAGTTTTCGCGTTCGAACATCGTCGAACACCGTGCGAATTATATTTTGTATGGCGCAACGAATGTTGGAAGGATTACTGTGGCGATGAGAAGCAAAGGTCGACCCCTTCGAAACAAGATTCTTTCTCGCGACAGTAGTCATCGAATAGTTTATAAATCGTTCGGAAAACTGAAAATTCATGTTGTCCTTAGTAAAATGAACTTCGTTGTCTTCTTTTCCTGGAACGTAATAAATAACAGTTAAACATTCAATTCTGGAAATGAACTTGAAATAAACAATTATTATTGATTGTTTTTATACTTGAAATAACAGTTATTATTAATTGTTTATATACTTCGAACAAGAACTATGAATTGTTTGTAATCTGGAAATAACGATTATTAGTCATGGTAATTATTAATTATTAAACAATGATTGTTAATCGTTTATTTATTACAATTACTATGATTATCAATTCAATTGGAAAACTCAGGTGACAGTTTCAGGAAACTAAATCATTCGTCTAAACGGCAATAAAATGAGAACAACACGATGGAGTCATTTTGATGATTTGTTTTCCGAAGGGATGACGCTACGTTTTTCATTACCACGGTATATCGTATGGAGATTGCACCGATAAAACAAGACGATCCTCTCGTCAGCCGAAAGTGCAATT